TTCAGCCCAGCCTTCTACACGCATAAGTACGGCTACAAGCTGCAGGTGTCTGCATTCCTCAATGGCAACGGCAGTGGTGAGGGCACACACCTCTCACTCTACATTCGTGTGCTGCCGGGTGCCTTTGACAATCTCCTTGAGTGGCCCTTTGCCCGCCGCGTCACCTTCTCCCTGCTGGATCAGAGTGACCCTGGGCTGGCTAAGCCACAGCATGTCACTGAGACCTTTCACCCCGACCCAAACTGGAAGAATTTCCAAAAACCGGGCACTTGGCGGGGCTCCCTGGATGAGAGTTCTCTGGGCTTCGGTTACCCCAAGTTCATCTCCCACCAGGATATCCGCAAGCGAAACTATGTGCGTGATGATGCAGTCTTCATCCGTGCCTCTGTTGAATTGCCCCGAAAGATCCTCAGCTGAATGCAGATGGGGCTCCAGGAGAAACGGGGATGGGACATGACCTCTGTCAGGCACTGGCTGACCCTGGAGAGGGGGCTGGACCCCCTTTCAGCTGCTTCTGCTGCCTAGGTTCTGTTACCCCGTTCCCCTGCCCCCCCTTCCTTACCACCCTCAGGTGCCTCCTATTGGTGCTTCAGCCCTGGCCCCTGTGGGGAGGAGGTCTTGGGGTCATCAAGGGCTTGGAAACAAGTGATCCCAGGGCCTGTCTCCTCTCCTGGGCAGGGCAGACATGCCTTGGTGCCTGCGGCACCAAGGGACTGAGGTGCCTGCTGGTGCTATGTGTCCCAAGAGCCATAGTGGGGAGGAGGAGTTGGGAAAGTGAGGGGGTCAAGAAGATGTTTTGAGATCTGATTTCTCTTCCCCTTTTCCCAGCTGTGCCCCCTCTGGTTATTTATTTACTTAGTGCCAGGAGGGCACAGCAGGGGAGCCCTGATTTTTAATAAATCCTGAATTGTATTTATTAGCTTGGTTCCAGCCTGACTCATCGGGGTTGGTCAAGGCCCTGGAAGGCTGGACCCAACTGTGAAGGCAAACGACCATTCAGAGACGGGCTGCTGACGCTCTGGCCCCAGGATCCAGATGCTCTGCTAGGTCGCCCTCTGGTGGACGAAGGAGAACTGCATCAGGCTTTGTGTGGAAGATGGGTTTTTCTGCCCTGCCCTCTGGTGGTTAGTTGGTAGAGGTGCAGGTTCTGGACCTGTTTTTTTTTTTTGGCTTCCAACAACAGAAATTTATTCTCTCACAGTTCTGAAGGCTAGAAGTCCAAAATTGAGGTATGGGCAGGATTCGTTCCTTTTAGAAGCTCTAGGATCTGGACATTTTTTATAAGGCTGGAGTCCCTGATCCGGGCCCCACCAAAGACTAGTGCCTTTGCCCTAGGCAGGTCTTTCTTGGTCTAATGACAATAGCTACCATTTATTGAGTACTTTCACATGGCAGACACTGCTGAGCACTTTACATGCATTATTTCATTTAAGACAACAGTCAAGTGAAACAGCTTTTATCACCGTAATAAAAGGACCTACCTTAGTGGGCTGTAGTGAAGATTTAATGAGACAATGCATGTTCCCAGCATAAAATAAGTGCTTGATGAATGCAAAGTCCAGCCCACACCCAGGGACTAAGCGGAGCAAAGGGGCCTTTGAGGGGTACCAGGCACTTCAATCTCATCCATACGCATTTGCTTTTCACACAGGCCTCCCTCAGTGGATGCCTGTGAATATCCACATTTGACTGATGAGATTGTAGCAGAGGAGTGAATTGATTTCACAGTGATCTTTCAGCTGGTTTGGGCCAGGGCCTGGATCCTGTTTTAAGCTCCAGCAATCCCTAGAAGCACAGCTGCCTTTAATTTTGGCAAGAGTTAATTTGGGTTGGATCCCTGCTGTGCTTGCTTTTTGGCAAGCTACCTAGCTATATGGGGCATCCTCTCTCATAGTAAAATGAGAGTAATCCTGCTTAGCTCCTAGATTTGTTGTAAAGATTAATCAGCATAAAATATTTTACTCTTCTCATCTGGCCCTGAGAAGAGGCACAATGTACAGGAACTGTTCCCTAGTAGGGGAAGGGTCAAGGGCTATAGTTCTCGCCTTCACCCTCCCAGACAGAGGCTCAGGTGAAAAGAGCCCTTATCAGAAGGTGAAAGGAGAGGTCTGAACCCAAGACAGCCAGCCTGGGGAACTAACCGTCAGCTTAGCCTTCAAAAGGTCAAATTCACTGATCTAGGGGGAGATGGGACGCTGGTGGCCTTGCCAAGAAGGTAAAGACGGCCCCTTCACCAGATAAACCATCTTGGTACAGTGAGGCCTGGAAGCTGATAGGGAGAACCATGGGCTGGCGCTTGCTTCAGCAACAGGTGGAATCACCCTGCATGTCTTCCAAAAGAAACCAGACACCCCAGATCAAGCTTGGGCTCCCTCTGCTGGCAGGACCATCCTGCCACAGCACCATCCCAGGGGCCCATTCACATAGAGGATTCATTGAACAGTGCCTTCTAGAGTTGTGTGCAACAATGGGATCTTGCAGTCAACCCCATAACCAGGCCTGGCCCTCATTCCAGTGCTGTTGCAGGCAGCTATAATTGCTCTGTGGAACTCAGGCCTGATTCTGCATCAGAGTGTGAGCTGGACTCCCCAAGCGCCTACCCCAGGAATTGTTCACTGGAGGCAGAGCTGGGCTCACCCTCACCATCTACTCTGTCTAGCTCTGTGACCTTAGGCTGACTGCAGGTTTCATCTGACACAGGCAGCAGAGGGCCTTCTTTCACAGGAATGGCATGAGTAGTAAAGGAGGCAAAGTGCCTTCACAAAAGGGCATACTCAGGAGGGGGAGGGTGCTTTCAACTCTTCTGAGACCCACTTGCTGACTCTTGCTACTAAAGTTCTGATTCTACCCTCACTGAATCCCACATCCTGTGGAATCTTTCCCTCCATAACATCTTAATCCAAACTCAGCAGAAAGGGGAGAAGGGGAATCTAAATAGCTCTTTTGGATTGTTTTTCCTACAGACAAAAAAGAAACTTCTCCAAAGATTCAAATCACCCAGAAGGCCACTGCCCATGTTACAGATTGTAGCACCTACTACCTCTACCTCTGTCAGAGGCCCTCAGTAACTCCAAAGTGTTGGAGGTGGGAAGAGAGGGAGGGACAGACATTTACTCTTCAATTGGCTTAACAAACCAGATTCCCATTTTTCAATGACTGATGGTCCTTAGAGTACAAGTGGTAGTACACTTTAGGCCTCTAGTGAAGGGCAACAAACCATACTTACCCATCAAGCCCCTTGGGGCTGGCCCTGTGGCTTAGCGGTTAAGTGCGTGCGCTCCGCTACTGGCGGCTCGGGTTTGGATCCCAGGCGCACACCGACGCACTGCCCAGCCATGCTGAGGCAGCGTCCCACATACAGCAACTAGAGGGATGTGCAACTATGCTATAACTATCTGCTGGGGCTTTGGGGAGAAAAAGGGAAAAAAAGGAGGACTGGCAATAGATGTTGCAATAAACAAAAAATTCCTCAAAAAAAAAAAAAAAAAAATCCCATCAAGCCCCTAGCAGTCCTGTCTAGGGAGGGGGCCAGCTGGCTGGGTACCTCCCACAGGCTGGCTGAACTATCTACTTCCATGCCTTACAATCGCCACATCACCTGGTCTGGGATAATGGACTGGGAGGGCTTCCAAGTGGGACAAATACTATAGGGATCTCTCTTAAAAATGAGGAATTACTTCCCTTCTAGTAAAGGAGACATGTTAGAAACAGTTATAAGAAAAATCGCCTCACACACTGACAGCATTAAACGAATATGACAAGATCAAAAGGTGAGTTTTTTTCTTTTTACTGGTTTATAATAATTTTAAAAACCCCATCACACCCATAAACCACCACAGGTGAGAAGATGAGGGAGATGGAAAATGAATGCTACAGTATGTGGACAGTGCAGGAATCCAGGTATTCCCTAGGGGCAGTGTAGGATGGAGGCAGGGACTGCAGATAGGAGGCCCTGGCTTGGACCCTTATTGCTGGTTGGGGATTGGCTGGCAGAAGGGGAAAAGGGCTCAGGGTGAACTAGGAAACATCTCACACCAAAGGCGAGGGCAGTTGGGGGCAGGGAGGGTGGGTCACAGTACATTTTCCATGCAGACTAGGAGTGGGAGTGAGAGCTTCAGAGACTTGCACCCCGACACAGGAAGAGATGGGTTTGAGGTTTGATTTAAAGCCCCTAAGTTGGTGTCTGGTCCAATTTCCTAAAACAGAAGCTCACCTTTCGGGGAGAGGCATTGGAAAAAATTACACCAAAAATATCTGGTTTGGAGATGGGGCATGGGATAAGGGGAGACAGTGGTGCTCTTTCAATTTAACTCAGAGAAGTGAGACCTGGAAGGGGCCCTGGGTGAGAGGGTGGCCAACGCCTTGGGAGGAGGCATTGCACCAGAAGCTGCAGGTGCTCCTGAAGGCTCAGGGACAGGGAGGTACCAGTGTTCACAGACAGCAGGAAAACAATCCGGAACAATAAATTAGGACTTCATGTTGCTATCATTTGGCATAACACAATCAGGCAATTTTTTCTTTTTTTTCTCTGTTTAAATATAAGGCAACTTGCCAACACATAATTTAAAAACTGGTCTTCAGTCACATTGTTTCAGATCACTAGAGAATTTCTGGCTAAAGAACAGTGGATAGTAAACAAAACCCAAAATCTTAAATAAGAACATCAGCTCACATTCCCCGGAGACAAGAGGAAAGGTAAGGGCTTATTTGGTTTTTTTTAAAAAAAAGTCAGAGCCCAACTATGCATCTTTAACAGAAGGGTGCAAAAAATTACAACGAAACAATCTAAGTTTAAAGTTACAGAAAAGTTTTAAAATTCTAGCCAGCTAATGATCACTTGGGAATGAGACACGTTGAGCATGGAGTGGATGGGGGTATGCGCCAAGAATGGGCGAGGGGCAGGAGGGGCTGTTTCCAGTGTAGGCCCATCTCCAGCTGTTAGAACCATGCTCATTTGGTAAAGGAAGAATTCAAAGAGCTTAAGGCTTTGTGTTTTTTTCTTTCTTTCTTCATTAAACTGAGGGGCTTTGAAAGGAGGTGACTAGAGGGTGAATGTACCTGTGGGGCCACTCACACACAATGCTACTCAAACCCACACTACAGTCATACAGAAACATGACATTTAAAACTTACAGTGTAGAGCGATATTCTTAGCCAGTGTAGAGAACCAAATGCATTTTAACTATTTTTTTTTTTTGGTGTTTTTAATTCCAAACTCCAATGTGATCATCCCTTACCTAATTCCTCAAGTAAGATCGGTTTTTTTGTTTGTTTTGCTTGTGTTTTTTGAGGGGGTTGGGGGATGAGAGCAGCAGGTGAGTCAGGAGAGAGGCTTGTGAGAAAGGGATCTTGGGTATGCTGGATGCTCACTGCATTTCTCTAAGGCTAGAAAGGCAAGTCAGGAACCAAGATATCAATGCGAAGACAGACTTTGCCCCCACGTCTCAAGGCTATGACCAAGTGCCTGCAGGATGCCCTGGAGGAGTGCGGCAAGGACAAGTGCAGTGGCGCTGGGGTCACTGTGATGTAAAACAAAGCCTTGAGGAATGGAGAGGGGCTGGGAGGCGATGAAGACTGGGTCAGCTTTGATTTGAGGTCTTTGGGTGAATAAGGAATTAGCTCTTAGAGAAGACTTGGGAGGTCTGGCTTCTTAGTCCCAAAGAGAGACAGACAGACAGACAGACAGAGGCCTAGCTAAGGGGGCTGGGCACCTACAGCTACCGCACCTAGGGCCCTTCCCTTGGCCCACATCTCAGTCCTAAGGGAAAGAGGCAGAGAAGCAGAAAAAGACAGGAGGCGGGTGGTGGGAAATGGCCCAAAGAGGGGTCAGGGAGAGACAGACAGCGAAGAGAAAAGCCTAGGGTTGGGATTAGGTCCTAACATAAACCCAAAAGTTGCTGGAGTTCGTGGAGGGGAGGATAAGGGCACAGAGGACCCTCGGTCCTCAATTAGATCCCACCAAATTCCCTTTCTTAGACACCTAAGAATGATCACATTGGAGCAGTGAAACTTTGAAACTATCCAATTACTCAAAAGTAAGACTAAACTAGGTGGGTGATGTACGATGTGGAGCTTTGTGGAGGGCACCGGGGCCACCTATCTATACCCAGGGTGCTGAATATGAAGACTTCGACTATCTGTGGGATCAGGGGCTCGGTTGCCAGGGGCTCGGTGGGCCTTGCTCAGCATGGCTAGGCTCTGTTCTCGGAAGCAGGCCTGCTGGAAATCCCCACTTAGGTAATCCACTGTTTGCATCAAGCTGTTCTGGCTGGCCACTGGACCGCCCCCGGTCCCTGCTCGGTAGTGGGCCCCAGCAGCCGCTGCACAGTCGAGGGGTGCACCTGTGGGCTGCCCACCATGGAACGGCATGGCGAGGTCCTGAGACCCCGAGCTGTCGCTATTGGGAGTGGGCAGAATGTTGTTCCACAGGGGCTGGAAGTAGTGACCATTGGGATAGGCCAATGGGGCTGCCAGGCCGTTGACTGGTGGGGATGGGGTTGGCTTCTCCAGGGGTGGCTTCAGATGGAAGGACTGTGCCAGGCAGAGTTCCTGCGGGTAGGCAGGGGCCTTGCCCACAAAGCCAGGCCCTGCCAACTCGCGTCCTGCCCCATGCTTGCCTGTCAGACCAGGGGCTGGCGTCCCACCAGCCTCACTGCACATCTGCTGCAGGTGGGCCAGCTGGTGCTGGTTCCAGGCGACTGGCTTGAGGTCGCTAGGGTAGCCAGTAGGGGCTCGAGAGATGCCCGTGGGCAGGTTGACAGGGCCTGCGGCAGGCAGTGCGGCTGTGGCCGCATGGGTGTGCTCCATGGGGTTGACCACACATGAAGGCATTGGTGTGGGGACGCTGTGGGTCGACACCCGGGTGCTTGCATTGATGAGCAGACTGCGACTAATGGGGCTGGGGTTGGCGATCTGGCCCTCACACACTGAGGTAGTGCTGATGCCTGCCCTCGTCTGGCAAAACTGGTTGATCTGGTGCACGATGCTGCTCAGGTCCGGGGGCTGGCTGTGCTGCAGGGTGGCCGCCATTGAAAGGGGGATAGTTGAGGTAGACACGGTCACATTCGGGGGGGCATCTGAGTCTGGCATCTTCCGGCCTCCATGCAGCAAGGGATTGGGGGGGTGCTGGAGACCCTGGTGAGACAGGGCCTGAGGGTGGACCAAGCCCTGGGTTTGGGCCATGGGCTGAGGGTGGCCCAGGCCCTGAGGCTGCTGGAGGCTCTGAGGGTGGGACAGTGCCTGGGGTGGTGGGATACCCTGAGGGTGCTGCAGCGTCTGGGGAGGGGCATGGGCCAGGGTCTGTGCATGCTGCAGGGCCTGCTGGCGGGCCAGAGCCTGGGCCTGGGGGTGGGCTAAAGTGCTGGGTGCCACAGTAGCATAGGGCGCCACTGGGGGATTCATGATGGCCTCAGGGAGCAACCGGGCTCGGGTGCCGTCAAAGTCCTTGAGTATGCTTTTGGCTGGCACTTTGACAATGGCAAGCAGGCCTGCCTTGGTGGCAGCCTGAGTCGGGTAGGGGCTGTAGCGCTGGGCTGATGTGTCGAGGCCGTTCACAGTACGACGAACGTGTTTCCGCTGGGGAACCTTCACACTGTTGGGGAAGATTTTTATAGTCAGTGGGTTGTTTGCGACCTTCTTAGCATACGCGTCCAATTCGGCTGGGGTAGGATAGTGAGCAGTTCTCATTTTCTGTGTAGTGTCCCCTAGAGAGAAAGAAGGGGAAGGGGAAGGAGAGCAAAGAAGGAGAGGGAGCTCATCAGTGCCAAGCCAACCAGCCCTTCTAGATCCCCCTTTTGAGGGCCTAGGGTGGAGGGGGTGGGGGGCTAACTAAATTGTCATCCCTAGTCTTCATTTCAGATCCAGGCTCAGCCCCCACAACAACAAGCACTGCTAACATTTAGTCAGTACTCATACAGTCATGCATCACTTAACGACGGGGATACTGAGAAATGTGTTGAGAGGCAACCTCACCGTCTATGATGCTTGCATGTACTTACACAAACCTAGATAGTCTAGCCTACTACACACCTACGTTGTATATACTAATCTTATGGGACCACCGTCGTATATGCAGGGCCCGTCGTTGACCGAAACTTCATTATGGGGTGCGTGACTGTAATGGGCCAGGCCTTGTGCTAAGCGACAGGCTATCTCAATGAATCCTTGCTACTGCTTTAGGAGGCAGGCACTCTCATGATTCTCATTTTACAAATGAGGTCACTCAAGACTGGAATAGCAGAGCAACTTTCAAAAGTCTCCTATCTTGGAGAGCCAGAACTTGGCCAATTCTCACAGAAGTAACCAAGAATTCTTCTTCCGCTACATGGAACTCTCTCCAGGTTCCTACCAGCCCATGCTCGCCTGGGGACTGAAGGTTCTAAGCAAAGCTGCTTGTCAGGGCCCTCTGTGGCCACTCACTCCCTTTCCCATGACACCCTGGTAAAGAGGGCACCCAAAGTGACTACACTTCAGCCTGCAGTGGCCAATGAGGCATCACCTTCCTCTTCTGCTTGGCAGCTGGGGCGCCATGCCCACTGGGTGGGCATCCTGGCACAGTAGACAGGATGCTTTTTTTTTCAGGAGCAGAGGAATAAGCTGCCAATATCCCTCCCCCATCTCCATGTCACAAGTTCACTTTTGTTTATAGCTTGCTCTCTGCCTGACTCGGTGACGATCAAAAGGCTTTATTTATTTCCTTGTGGGGGGTGACAATAATGACAGGGCAGCAGGGAGGGAATTGAGAAGAAAGGATTCAGAGAATCTTTAAATCCTGAGAGCCAAAAATAGTCTGTATTCGGCCCTTGTCAGCTGTGACTTTCAAAATGAAAGAGGAAAAAACCTGCCTTCCTTTGGAGACTGCGGAAATACCCACTCAAGGCGCCTCATTAATGTTAACAGTCTCTTTGTTCCCATCTCCAGTTGCCTCCCATCAGGGGGCTCTAGCGGATGTCGCGCTGCCAGTCAGAAAGGAAAAGGTTCTGAGAACAGGAGCTCTTTAAGGATGCCAGGCTCCTCCAAGGGGTCTCTGCTCTGTTCTCCCTCTCTCTGAGGGAAGGTCTCCCCTGAGCATACACAGAAGGTGCTTAATAAAAGCTTGCTGAGTGAGTAAGTACACACTCTGCCCAAAGCAGAAGGAAAGGGGCTTGGCTGAGAGCCTAGACTCAGCCAGCCGACTCCCTCCCTACTTCCTCCCCTTGCAGGAGGCAGCCAGGCCAGACCAAGGACTAAGCTGACTGAATGCCTGGCTTGTGGCCTCAGCTGGCTTGGCCCAAAGGAGACTCCATTCAAAGTCACGTCACTGAGCATCAACTGGAATAGAAGTAGCTAGTGAGTGTGCTAGAAGGAAAAGGGCACAGCTGCCCTCATTTGGTGGTTAGCTGGCAGAAACTGCTTAGAAACCACTGCTCTTGGAAGCAAGAAGAGAAAGCTCAAGGCCAGGAGGGGCAGCGAGATTCAGGCCCATGTTCAACAAGGTAGAACTTAGCAAAAAGGGTACAGAAAGGAAAAGGTTTGTGCTTTCAAATACCAGTACAATGCCTTGAACTTAGTAGGCACTTCAACATATTTAAGGGTCTGCGTTATTTACTGAACACAGAATAGATGCTCCATCCATAAATGAAATGTTTGTAAGATGATGGATTTGGAGAAGGTCTTAAAAAGGATGAATGTGACGGTGACAATTGAGGGCAGGAAGGAGAGGGAGGCAGAGAGGCCCAGAAATCTTCCCCCATCCCCCAGGCAGCACCAGCTAGTGAGGAGGGTCAAAGCCCTGAGAGCAGAGCCTGAGTTCTGCTGCTTCTTATAAGCAAGGCACTCACCCATAATGGGCTTCAGTCTTCATAAAGTGAGGCCATTTTCTGACCCTTCTTACATTCTGGACAAGAAGATACAAAAAAAGTCTGGGATCACTGAGAGAGAGTCCCTAAACTAAAGGCAGCAGAATTTCACTAGAAACTGCCCTGGTTAGCCACTGTACTTAGGTGTCTGACTGGTCAAAATCATGTGCCACTCCTAGCCCAGTGCCTTACCCAGAGCAGACACGTAGTAAATACCCAGTAAGTGCCATCAGTATAGGTACTGCCTGACTGAGTAATGGGAGTCTGAAGCTTCTGGGTTTTAGTTCAGACAGGAAATGAAGGTCTGCCTCCGGGCTTTCCTCCATGTTGGTGGGCTTCTCTCCATGAAGGCCAATTAAGAGTGGGTACAGTGGCTTGCTAAATAGAGTCATGCATCACTTAACGACAGGAATACATTCTGAGAAATGCATCACTAGGCGATTTTGTTGTTGTGCAAACATCACAAAATGTACTTACACAAACCTAGATGATATAGCCTACTACACACTATATGGTACTAATCTTATCGGACCACTGTCATATATGCAGTCCGTCGTTGACTGAAACATCGTTACATGGCGCATGATTGTAATAGAGTTCCTTTGTTCCAAGTCAGTACCAACTCTCAGGTTGGTTTTTTTCTAGCAGAGGCAGAGGCTAGCTTGGCCTCATTTAGGAGTAGGGAATGGGACACTTACACTGATTCGTTTTCTTTGTCCTGCCTCCACTGATGTTGACAGCAGTGATGAGGAATCAAATAAAGGAATTAGAATCAAAAGAAAGTAAGGGCAGGGCCGGCCCTGTGGCTTGGCGGTTAAGTGCGCGCGCTGCGATGCTGGTGGCCCGGGTTCGGATCCCGGGTGCGCATCGAGGCACCACTTCTCCGTTCATCCTGAGGCCGAGTCCCGCATACAGCAACTAGAAGGATGTGCAGCTACGACATACAACTATCCACTGGGGCTTTGGGGGGAAAAAAAATAAAATAAAATAAAATCTTTAAAAGAAAGTAAGGGCAGAGAATGTGGACACAGGCTACAGTATCTTTGTTAAGGAAGAATCTCAAGGATGAGACTGACTATACTGGACAAGAAAGAGGCCACATTCTGGGAATCCAGCACCACCTGCCTCACATACCAGCCTTAAGCCCAATTCTTAAAAAAGCCAAGTTTTTCTCAATACTTTTCTCAATACTTTCACACAGGCACCCTGCAGACTTTCTTTCTTAACATCTCCCTCTAAGTGCACAGCTAACATAGATACCACAGCTTTGTAAGCAACTTATTTAATTTACCTGGTACATGGTGTCATTAATCGAGGCATAAGGCCGTGTAGAGAATACGGAATCTGTGGTTAGAAAAAAGGTAGAAAGATCTGGATTCAAGCACTGGCTTTATGATCTGACTTCTCAGAGTCTCAGCCATTCTTCATTTATAAACAGGGATGGTACCTACTGTCCTACCTCAGAATTACTAAGATCAAGAGATTCAACGAACAGGAAAACACTCTGTGAACAGGAACCATGACTGTCGACAGTTATCATTCAAGGACAGCAGGTTTGGCTGAGTTTGTCCACAGACTGGACAAAGTAACCTGACCAAGGAAGCCCCAACTGCAGGATCCCCTGGAGTTGGTCTGAGAGTTAAATGTAACAGAAGGCACTGTTGTTTATTCCAGGAACTGGGGGGAAAAATCTCCCTGAATCCGGGCTTTTCCACAGGGATCTCCCTGTTTATCCTTCTATTTTGAAGGTCAGAAGACACAGGCGGCATATGCATCAGGACTCTATCGGTGAAGAGGCACAGGCAGTGTGTTTAAAATACAGGCTTTGGAGTCTGACCCAAGTTCTAGCCCAGTCATTGAACAATGTGATGTTGGCAAGTGACAAACACTCTGTGCCTCATTCTTAAAAGGGAAGAGAGTCTCCTAGATGGAATTACTGAGGAATGAATGAGAACATATATAAAAATACTCAAGATAGTGCCTGGCATCAGAAATGTTAGCAATATTTCTGAGTTTATCCAGTCATTTCCAGGCCCTTCCACCAGGGGGCATATAGGCATTCAAAGCAACAGTAAAAGATAATTTTGACATTTGTCCCAGCCCCAAGACTCTACAATCAAGGAGGTCACAGTTGTTGCCTTAAAGATGATTTGAGGACCAAGGACCTTTGGTCACTTCAGTCGTTCACCCAGAAATATTTATTGAGCCACTACTATATACACCTGACTATGAGCTGGAGAAGCACGAGCAGAGGCTTGGGGTTAATGATTAAAAAACATTCAAAAAAACATTTTCGGGGGAGTTAAGAGATGGGTCAGAGGACAACAAATTTTGCAAGTACAGAGCTCCAAAATGGCTGAGGACTCTCAAAGCCAGTGACATCGTGGAATATACAATCTAGAACAGCTCTTGGAGAACATCTACCTAACCCCAACTGTGGTCCTCTACCAAGTACAGGACACACCCAAAGCCAAGATGTTCTTTAGTCCAGCCTGCCCTATGGCAAACTACACATCGAGGATGGGAAATGCATTATATCCTTCTACACACATAGAAGAGGAATGAGAGAAGAGAAAACGTTGGGGTTAGAATGGATCAATCCTGTGACTCTATATATATGGCGGCTCAAGCCTGGGGAAAAGTGATTAGACAGGTGACTTACATTGCTGGGCCAAAAAGCCACATATCCCATCTCCTGACCCCTGATCCATCTCTTCTGCCTGAAGCTGACTCTTACAATATAAAGCACATTAAGCTATAAACGTCTGCACCCCATCCCCACCCCACCAGATACCAAGCTGTGTTTCTAGCAACTTATAATCCCCTCTTGAGGATGGGGGGCAGAGAAAGGCTGAATAGCAGAGTCACAAAACTCTATAGCTGATAGGCCTGGGCTCTGAGCAGCTCCTTGGTTTCTGGTTCCCAAAAGAGACATCTTATACTCCATCTCACCTTAACAGTAAATGTTTAATGCTAACAGCTATAAGTCACATGACAGGATTTTGGGAGAGAAGCAAGCAAGCAAGCTTAAAAATACCACTGGGGGGGCCGGCCCCGTGGCTTAGCGGCTAAGTGCGCGCGCTCTGCTACTGGCGGCCTGGGTTTGGATCCCGGGCGCGCACCGATGCACCGCTTCTTGGGCCATGCTGAGGCCGCGTCCCACATACAGCAACTAGAAGGATGTGCAACTATGACATACAACTAGCTACTGGGGCTTTGGGGGGAAAAAATAAATAAATTAAAAAAAAAATACGACTGGGTTTTCTCCTCTGCAAAGGTTTGGGTGTGGTTAAGGATAGCAACAAGAGAGTCAAAGGGATTCAAATACACTGTTCCCCAAATGACAAGTGACACTGAAACCAGGGGAAAAGGATACCTCAATTCTTGCAAATGGATTTGGGGACAGTGGTTGGCAGAGGCTACTTGGGGGCTGCTTTGGGGAAAAGGGGGTGGAGATCCAAAATCAGCACCCAAGAGAAAGCTGCCAGTTTGCCTTTCCTCCCAAATGGCTCATCCCTTGGTATCACATCTCTGGATGAAACTGTGAGAGTGTGTTCAAGAACCTATACGAAAGACAGTGAGCTGCTCTTTGTTATTTTATTGTGTACTTCCAAGGACACTCCCTCTCCAGTTGTGTCCCTGGAAGCCCAGAACCAGTCACAATGCAGTTAGCATGCAGATTTGGGTGGCCAGGGAGCACATGCAACTTCATCACCCAATCATCATTTAGTAAGAGAAAGGCCGGGAAAAACCTGGTACAGCGGAGTTTGCCTATTGCATCAGGCAGCTGTAGAAGGAAGATTGTCACCTTCAGCTCTGTCATTACACAACTTACATTCATTGGCCAAATTCCAAAACCAGACAGGCTCTGAGTCTTACTCTGCGTCAAAGAAACAAAGTCAAGAGGCTAGACCATTTTTAACCTCTGAAAATGACCTCATAGAGCAGGGTCAGCAAACTACAGCCTGTGGGCCAAAATCCAGCTGCTGTGTGTCTGTAATAAGTCTTATTGGGGGGCCGGCCCCGTAGCCTAGTGGTTAAGTTCGGCACACTCTGCTTTGGCTGCCCCGGTTTGGTTCCCGGGCACAGACCTACACCACCTATCAGTGGCCATGCTGTGGTGGTGACCCACATATAAAATAGACGGAGGACCGGGCCCATGGCTTAGTGGTTAAGTGCGTGCGCTCCGCTGCTGGCGGCCCGGGTTTGGATCCCAGGCGCGCACTGACACACCGCTTTTCCGGCCATGCTGAGGCCGAGTCCCACATACAGCAACTGGAAGGATGTGCAACTATGACATACAACTATCTACTGGGGCTTTGGGGGAAAAATAAATAAAATTAAAAAAAAAAAAAAATAGAGGGAGACCGGCATAGATGTTAGCTCAGGGCGAATCTTCCTCAGCAAAAAAAAAAAAAAAAAAAAAAAGTCTTATTGGAACACATCCACACTCATATGTTTACATGTTGTCTAGTGCTGCCTTTGCCCTACAACAGTAGAGTTGAGTAGATGAAACAAGAGACCACATAGCCCACAAAGCCTAAAATATTTGCTATATGGCCCTTTACAGAAAGTTTGCCAACCCCTGTCATAAAGGATTCAGGTAAGGTGCTGAAGCACTTTTTCTATTAAAGCCTAGATGCCTCACTGATTTCCCCTTTTTATTCGGAAAGGAAAGTCTATTCCAAATTTAGGGCCATTTTTACACTTAAAGATAACGTACATGGTAATGAGCCAGGAATAGAATCTTTTCCTTGCACATCATGTAGTACAAGGATAGGAGGTAGGAATCTGGGAAAATATGAAGTATAAAGCCCTAATTCCAGCCAGTTTAAGACAGGAATGTAACACAGTTCTCAAAAGCTCAATCTTGTGGGAAGTAGATTAACAGGAATACACCCAGAGGGACTGAGAAAGCTAGCTCCCTATCCCTTCTGGAGGCAAAAGCTTCTTTACCTGCTATGAACTGAGGTGACTGGCTCAGAAGGCAGACAGCAAAGCCAAAGGGAACTGTCTGTTTCCATGGCAGAGTGCTCAGAGAGTTCAAAACAAGAGAATAGTGTAAATAGTTTGTTTCAGAGATACAGTAAGTAAGCTGGACTGTGAGTTTTCATTCAATTCCTCATGGGGGTTCAAACTGAAACACTTTTTTGAAGGCTGATATATGCATCTTGTAAAACTCCTTATCCTTATAGGTTTGTTGTTCAACAGATAGCTATCAACAATTAAAATTAAGATGATATACACTGGGGAATTCTAGTTTTTAAGAGGATCTCTCTGATCAGTGAAGTGTCTCACATTGCTGACAAGTTTTGCAACTGCTTTCTTGCTGTCTGTGCTGAAGAATATTTCGGAAGTACCAACGTTCACAGTCAATGTACCCCAGATGTGCTTCTGAGACAGCCCAAATGTAGGGACAAAATAAAGGATCACATCCTCCCCTGGGATCCAGATTACTTACATTTCTGAAGTCCAGTGTTCATCTGCGTGTGAGAAAGAAGCTGAAAGGACAGGTCACCTGGCCCTGGTAGACAGGCTAGCATGGCAGACTGGCATCAACACAACATGGGGCAGTCACTCACACTGCAATGAACAAAAAAACAAGGTCATGGAATACAAGGGAACTCAAGGAAGATTACTAGGGACATCAGATATGAGCAGCAGAGGCCCAAGTTTAGACAGGTAAGCAATTTAATTAGCAGCATGGGGCCGGCCCCGCGGCTTAGCAGTTAGGTGCGCGTGCTCCGCTGCTGGCGGCCTGGGTTTGGAACCCGGGCGCGCACCGACGCACTGCTTCTCCGGCCGTGCTGAGGCCGCATCCCACATACAGCAACTAGAAGGATATGCAGCAGTGACATACAACTATCTACTGGGGCTTTGGGGGGAAATAAAATAAATAAATAAAATCTTAAAAAAAAAAATTAGCAGCATGTTGGTCGGAAATATATCTACATCTTTAGCTGTAGCAACAATTTGCTCCCAACTATTACTATGGCTAAAATGATATTTCAATCAGCTGAGATATGTGGGTGGGGAAAATAAAAACTGGAAAACACCTATCCACACAAATAATTGGAAAATGTAGGTGCATCTGTAAGGTCTTTCATGCTCACAAGCTATAGATGCACTCGCTTGGCATCTACATTTCCTATAGACTGCCTCTCCCTACTGCTTTTGGATAGGCCCGTGGTGCTGCCAGATAAACAGCACACTGGCTCTCATCTGTGCTCCAGCTAAGGCAGGAGCAGAAAAGCTAGGGCACATTCTAACTGAGGTGAAGGGAAAGATGATTTCTCTTTCCCTGAAAATAGAACAGTGTTCTTGAAGAGAGCTGGCTCTCATAGGGATTGGCTCAGTCTATTTACAGCCCTGTTTGGGTGCCAGGGCAGTCAGACATTTCCAGAAGCAGTACAGTATATGAGTTGCAAAGGCACCCAAAGTCCGACTTGTGGCCCTGGTTAATCTGAACGTGCTTTTTTTTGTGTGTGTGAGGAAGATCAGCCCTGAGCTAACATCTGATGCCAATCCTTCTCTTTTTGCCAAGGAAGACTGGCCCTGGGCTAACATCTGTGCCCATCTTCCTCTACTTTATATGGGACACCACCACAGCATGGCTTGACAAGCGGTGCGTAGGTGCATGCTCGGAATCCAAACCTGTGAACCCTCGGGCCGCCGAAGCGGAGCATGCGCACTTGACCGCTGGGCCACCGGGCCGGCCCTGAACGTGCTTTTAAAAGGAAAAAGGAACAAAGCATCCTAGGAGACACAATTAACTACTGTTAAAGCAAATTCTGTTTGTAAGTTTCTGAGGATTCACCTTTCCTATTGCCTATCACACAATCAGACCTCCTGAACCCAAAAAAGAAAAAAAGTGCATTGCCCCCAGAGTAAATCAAGGAGGTAGTAGGCTGCCAGCAGCCCTCTTTGGGCAGGTGATCCTGACATTATGTCAAGATGGCATGGTTTCATCAGTGATGTCTACACAGCTCCAGCAAGCACACGTTGATGTGACCTTCTGTAGGGAAGGAAGCCATGTCAACAATATAAGTTCCCTGTGTACCAAGGACCAAGCTTTTCTCAAACAAGTATAATGTACACATGGAGTTCCTTTCCCATAATGCAAAACCCAGAAATCAAGGTGGCATATTAAGGCTTAGATCACAACAAAAGAGGAGTGGGGAGAAAGCTCAAATGTTAAACAAAGACCACAAAACCTCTTTCTTTCCTCTTAGAGGGCCCTCTCAGGTATGTGAAACTACCTTGTCACTATGAGCATCAGACAGCTCCAACTTGCAAGGCCAGGTAGCTGAAAAGATACTTTGTAGAAGAGGCTGCTCAAACTGTGTCTAAGACAGCAACTGCAGAAAGCACTGAAGATTGAAGGCCTCAATGAGAACAGAGCTGCCTAAGAGTTCTGGCACAGATTCAGTCTTTTTAGGTCTCTGGTGAGCAGGATAACAGAATGAACACAGTGTGCCAAGTGCCGTGCCTCAAGAAATAAAAAGTGCTCTGTTGGGGTCAAATGACTGTCTGCTTACAATCCCTTCCCTTGTGAATGCTGATCTCTATTTAATAACCTCTCCCCTATGGTCTTAATATAGCTGAGGGCAAAATCCAAGGAAAGGAAGGGAATTAACCAATACTGGAGCCTAATATTGTGAAATGGGCTGTATGAGGGGCTTTACTGATGTTTTCTTAATTAGGTCTCCCAACCTTTCTTGGAGATAGGTAATAATTTCACTTGCCATCTCATCATCTCTAGCCTGGATTACTACAATAGCCTTCTAAATGGTCTCTCTGTTCCACTCTTGCCCCTATCACCCAATCTATTCTCCCCACAGCAGCCAAGTAATTTATTTGTTTAATTGGAAATCATATCAGCTCAAAAATCTCCAATGACTTCCTATCTCACTTAGAATAAAATACAAAATCCTAACATGGCTGACAAGGCCTTCCATGATCTGTTACTACTACCTCTCTGACCTCATCTTCTAACCTCCCCTGCCCCTCTTGCTGACTCTACTTCCAGCCACAGTGGTATCCTTGAAGCTCCTCCAATGAGCCAAGCACACTCTAATCTCCAGGCCTTGCACTTCATCTGGGTAGATGAGATATTGTGATGATGGAGGCACAAAGAACACATTCACTCACTTTTTTTTTTTTTGTGAGGAAGATCAGCCCTGAGCTAACATCCATGCCAATCCTCCTCTTTTTGCCAAGGAAGAGTGGCCCTGGGCTAACATCCGTGCCCATCTTCCTCCACTTTATATGGGACGCCGCCACAGCATGGCCTGACAAGCGGTGCATCGGTGCACGCCCGGGATCCGAACCCGGACCGCCAGCAGCAGAGCACACTCACTTAACTGCTACGCCATGGGGCCGCATCTGGCTTTTTCTTAAACATAAATTCCAATATAATTTCACAGCTGATATTTCCAGAAGCACAATTAGACCCAGAAATCAACACTAGCACTACCTTTTGAAAGGGCCTCAAAATTCAAGCCCTGACTTCTGCATAGAATCAAGTAGTAACCAGGAGATCGGGCCAAGGGAGCTGCAGACGTCACAGAAAAGAAAAAAGATCTCCTTGGCAGAGCCTCTCTGTGAGCTCTCAGCCAGATTTCTTACCGCCAGCTGGTCTGCTCCCTAAGCAGGAGGACTACAATATCACAGTGAGCAAGAACTAAGGTGTTCAAACTCTGCTGGGGCATTCACACAAGTGCTAGTCCCAGACTACTTCTCATTAAGGAACAAAACCCTTGTCCCCACTGGGAAAACTCAAAAGTAGTTTCATCTGTGCCCACCGCCCACCCCGCCCCCCGCCAGAGGACTGAGCGGTTTCATTAGACTTGTGACGTCACACACTCTGCTTTCCCGGGTCGCATCTGATAAAGGACCATCTCTGGCTTAGGGTAGGTCTGTGCTGGTAAGAAAAGCTCAGTTGTGTTTGTGCTGCTTGTCGTTGCTTATGCTTAGGCTTATGCCCAGTGAAGGGTAGGGAAAAGAGGAAGAGGAAGACTCCTCTTCATATGTTTTTTTGGTGGGAAAAGGAGGAAGAGAGAAGATGAAGTGCTAACAAAGGAATTTTTACTTGGGAGGGTGGGGGTGGTGGGTGAAATGATCTAGAGCCATCAATTCCCAGCACAGTCTCACTACCCTCAATCTGGTGCCTTCCAGTACATTTCTTTGCCAGTTCTCTCTCCTGCTTTCCTTTCCTTTCCCTGTCTTCAACCCCCACCTTCAAAAAGAAAACACACACCCTCCAAAAAGGTTGACTAGCCCAGTTTCTGATTCATGCTGTGACTGACAAATTTAAATCTGCCATTTATGGACTTTAATTAAAAAGTGAAACTGAGAGCAGTGCCATCTCTGAGATCCCAAGTAAAGAAAGAAAATATTATACCTCTTGTTATCCTACTCCACTTTATAAAATACATCCAACAGTGAAAATCCTGAGTACATGCATCTTAAGAGAATATGATTAACATTGAGAAAGCACATTAATTAAAAGAGTCATCACTATCTCTTATTAAGCCTTCTCATCCATGAGTTAAAGACTTATCTAAAAAGACTACTTTTTGATAACGGGGGAAAAAGTTTTATCCTACTGTTCCCTGTTCCTTTACTCCTGGGGTCTAAGAAATTAGGTTAAAACCTAAAGGAAACACCAAAATACTGCTCTGGGGAAAATAAACAGGGCCAAAGATGACAAAAATTACATGTTTATCAAATCAGACTCTGCAAAATCAGTCATCTTTATGGTCTGTTACAATAAAACAATCTATTCAACAGGTAATTCTCTCAGTCTAGGTAACTGTGAATTTCCAACTAAACTGTACTTTTCACTATTTACCCAACCTGAATAAAGTTCAGCCATTGCTCAAAGCCATCTTTCTTCTCTATCTTTAACCCAATAGTGGACCTAAAAGTCACTTGCAATTGTGACCTCTAGGTCACAACTCTAGGCTAGGGGAAAGAGAAGGAGAAAGAAAGGGATATGCACTCTGGACTTATTCTATTGAAAGTCCAGAACTAACTCTGCTGCAAACCATCTCCACATAGCTCAACACATGAGGCTCGAGGGGTTTGGAAACATTACTTCTAACTACCACCCTTTAGAACCCATCACAACAGGTCCTCTTCCTATCCTGTTTCCCACCCCCACCCTGGTCCCTAAAGGTGCTTTCTCTGCCAGTGCTTTCTTTAGCAAGGATGCTCTTTCCTGGATCCTCTTATTATTTAACTCATCTATGACCCACTGCTTTCTCTTGAATTTGTTATTCCTGTACCAGGAAAGTATTCTCCCTGGACATTCTAACCTTTCAACTGGAGTGTGAGCTTCCTAAGACCAGAGACTGTCTTTTATTTATCCTTCCAAGTTACAGGGTCAAGAACAAGATTATTTACATAGTAGATGTTTAATGAATATTATTGGCTCACATTCCTGAAGAATAGCATCTACTTTAATCCCAGACTCTGGAAATTATCTTAATTTACGTCCTTGAAACAAATGGATAATACAAGTGCCAACAAGTGTCTCTGCATGTGCCTGTGCAGTTCCTTCACTCTGGGAGTGAGAGGAT